TGATGTTACTTCAGGTGTAGCAATTTTGAGTAATGTTTTTTTCCCCCCATTAATGGAAGCTTGAATGATTAACCTCTTTGAACAGACACAATTAAAATAAATTTTATTACAATTAATTGAATATCAGCAGAAAACCCTGTGATTTGTAATTCTTATAGACATGAAGATCAAAACCATTAAAATGGTTTTAGAAAAAAAAGGGTTTAGCATATTTTATAGTTGTCATTTCAGAAATCACAGGATCTATGCCTAGAAAAATACATATTGTAGCAGGACACTAAAGACTGAACCTCTCATAACGTGAAATGATGAATGGAGATAGATTGCAAATTTCATATGTTCTGAACATTAAACTTGGTTATCTGGCATGTCATTGCCAATAGCTCGTAATAGGTCATGAGCTGTAGAATAAGACCAGCTGCTGAGGGGAAGCTCCGTGAAGCTTCGCAGGACGTTCCTCTGTTCTCAGCGTTCTCTCACACCTTCTCCCTCGCCCTGCTGACCCAAGAGCCAGAATTCCCTAACATGAATCACAATCTGGGTCAGTGAAAACTCTGGCTTTGCTTGAAAACTCAGCAAAGGCATCATGATGATTTGAGTTATTAGCGCTGGGAATTCTAACATTACTTGTTTTATATTAAAATCATTCATATCCTTTTGCTGACATGTTGATTTAAGGCACTAACACTTAATATTAGGTTGTGTATAAAATAGTCATAAGTGATTATTTTTATAAATTTTTTTTACAGTAGAACATTTGTGGTTTTAATCATGTTTTCCTGGGCTGGTGGAGCAGACACTTGTCCAAGTGGGCTTTGGAAGTGGCTCTGCAATCCCAATCTGCCCTGCCTGTCCAGACTGCACATTTATTTACTGCTAACCTTGGCAGAGGGCCGGGTGTGAATTATTACTAGCTCGGGTGTGTTTTGTTGTGTGGTTGTTTGTTACTCATGGGCTTGGCCTTTACACAATTGACAGAATACCCGTATTTTCCGACATTTGTTATCAAGGGAGCTGAAATGAACTGACTGTTTTGTTGATGCCAAAGCCTTCTGAAGATTGGGTAATCTTCAGCTGCTTTCTGTTGGCTCATGGCCGTGGTATGCCCTAGTTTAGTGGGAATAGTGTCTGCTCAGGCTTTCTTCTTGTGTTCATGGTCTGTTTGGTTTTCACAATACCAAACTTTCAGTAGTTGGTACCACTGGAATTTCATGATTCTTGGTACCAATTTAGATGCTGTAGCTCTTTGTATAAGAAGTATAACTATAAGAATATTAAATAATAATAGGGTCATTCCGTGTCAAATCAACCAAATTTAAAAAAATTCCCTGGCTCAAATTTTTGATTTTGCTAATATCTTTTCTGAAAAAAGACAGGCATGTATAGTCATGAAAGCCAAAATATTAAATGTCATGGATGAATATTTACGGAGTAATCCACTATTTTGTTGAGGGGTGTCAAAATGGCCATTTTCACGTTTCAGAGCCAAATTACAGAGGGGTAAAAATGACTTAAGAGAGATGGCAGCACCATAATGTTATATTTACACAGATATTGGTAGGTCTGTTAGTAAAATATGTTGATTTTAGCCATTTTTGTTGCATTATGTGCCAAAGGTGACCATTCAAAAATGGGGAAACAGCACTTTTCAAGTTTTTTTTCTCCAAAGTTTGCATGCCTGTAACTCAAGAAGTATTAAAGATATCTTAATGCCCTTTTAGATATTGGGTCTTAATCTTTCCTTTTGGTATCTTCATTTTTAAGGCCCTATATGGTTCAGTTCCTGAGATATTGGAATTTCAATATGGCTCCAGGAGTAAATTGTTAAAATGTACACATATTCAGTGGTCAAAAACTAAATGTGGGTCAATTTGTAAAAATATGATACTACTTTTCTTTTAAAGAGGAATGTCTGAAAAACAAATAATGTTGAAACTAGAGATGTATCTCATTTACTTCTCTCAAAACAACTGCATTGAACATACCTGTCTGAGTGCCATAAATATTCTTTTTCCAAAGTTTGTGTGCCTATAATTTAAGAAGTATTAAAGATATTGCAATATGATTTTAGATTCTAGTTCTTAATAAACTTTTTTTTTTTGGACGCACCGATCGGTCTCACTTCTTTCCGATTCCTAGCCGATCCGTTTTGTTACCAGCGGCACAGGCAATAATGTCAGCCGCGCATTCTCGCTCTCTTCTCTCCGACGACCCCTTCTCTCTCACACACGTCTCATTCGCTCCGG